CCTTTGTATAGTATGCAGTATGTGCAGTAGCGCCATCTTGTTGAAGTTTCCATGGTTTATCATTGAGCATAAGCAGGTCAATTGATGGAATTAAGTTGTTTTCCAGTACTTCTACCTATATTCTGGAGTTGATTCTTCCGGTGTATGTTTGGCACATACCAACACCTTTATAATTGAAGCATGACCAGATTCCTATCAAGCCTCCTCCACTTTGTACAGTCGGTCTAATGTACCTGGCGTAATACTTTTCATGAGCCATTCTTTTGACTGTTATGTTAGATTTGCGATTGATAAGCTCAAAGTTACTCTCATCACTCCACATAATGTTTTCCTATTGTTATATTGTTCAATACCTTCTTTTACCACAACATTTTAGTCTCCTTTGTTTATCATATAGACGCAGAAGCGGTTTCTTCAAAGCAGTGTAGACTCCAATCTTGTATTTGATAAGTATTCGGCGGACTGTGCTTTGAGAAATAGATGTATTTTGCGTTGTATTAAATTATGTGGTTGATTCTTTGTAACTAATTCTTGGATTAGCTCTGACAGCTCTAAAATGAACACTATCGTCCTTTCTGGTGGTTGACAAGGGTCTACCTGGCCTCGTTTTCTCGCTGGCACCACCAGTGTGAAGAAAGTTTTGTTTCGTTGTACGAACGCATTTCTCAGAAACTCCAATTAACTTGGCGATTTTTCTATTACTTTTGGTTCCTTCTTTGATGTGCGCAATAATTTGCCATCTTTCACCTTGAGTGATACGTTTTTTGCCCATTTTTCGCGTCTTTTTAGTGCAAAACTAACTTAACTTTTGTTTATTTGTTAAATAATGATTAACTAATTCCAGGTAAGTCATATTTATATAAAGTTTTTTGACAAAATCAATTACTTTAGACCTATTAATGAGAAATATGGGGAAAAAACTACTAATTATCTATCGATTAACAAGATATAAGACTTTTTTGATTGTGCGTCTAAATTTATCAACAAAATGAAATCAAGCTTATCAATTAACTTTTTTGTGTTAATCGGTATAGAATGAGTAATAAACATCCTGTAAAAAAAAAATTAAGGTACTCTTTAATAGAGTTTCACTTCCTCTTATAAATTATATATTAAACATAGCGGTAGTACTTTTATTTTATTTTTATTTTGAGTATTTTCTTTCATATATGAAAAAAAAATGAATGCGTCTAAATTTATGAAAGCTACTGTATATACATATATATAATATATATATATATATATATATATATATATATATATATATATATATATATATATATATATATATATATATATATATATATATATATATATATATATGAATATATATATATATATATATATATATATATATATATATATATATATATATATATATATATATATATATATATATATATATATATATATATATATATATATATATACAGGCTTGGACGGGAATGGCGTGCGATCGGACGCTGTGTTTGACCACGCACATATTAACAATGTTTTGAAAATAAAACCACGGTTGCTTTGATGTTTTGACTAATAAATACATTTTTTCGGCCTATGGGAAATGCGTTAAAATAACCAAACTAAATTAAATTATAGAGAACAATTTAAAAAATATGTATTTTTTTTTTTTACACATTTCCAACGAAAGAAGAGAAAAGAAAACTAAAACTGTAAAAGTACTAACTCAAAGCGACAATTATTTTAAGTTACGTTAGTTAACGTTAGAAATAAATGACTTTTATCTTTTGTTACTTTATTTTTTGCAAACAAGTTAAACTATTGAATCGCTTTATTGCTACAACGTTTAGGTCTTATGTTGTTGTCAGGCTGAGCGTTAATACATTTTTCCAGCAAGAGTTCAGTCGTAGCTAGACCGCTGAATAAACGGTCAGAATAGGGCTGTTATACCTTGATATATATTTTTTTAATCAAGTCCGTTGGATTATTGATCAATAAGCTTTATTTTATAAATTTATATTTCTTCTTAGTTGCATTTTTTGAATCCGATAAATTTTGTTATGTATCGGAATAATAATTATTTAATAAGATTTTTCTTAATTTAAATTTTGTTTAACAATTAATTCGTCACTTTATTTATAAGTGCTTCACACTATAATTTTTAAGTTTTTTAATAAAGTTTCAAACTTTTTGATGTCGTAATTTAAAGTAATAAATAAAATATTCGTTTAAAAGATTCATAAACATTGCATGACAAAAAAAAATACTTTTCAACTTTTACATTTATCATACACTTTTATCGTAAGCACTTATCATGCAAATCGTTAGTTCTCTCTCGCAGAAATTCTCAACATAACGGCGTAAACATTAGACGTTACTCTTTAAAATCTTTGCGCAAGAGAGCAAATGCTTTTTAAAAGCATTGGTTCTCATGCGCAAAGACTTTAAAGAGTAACGTCTATTGTTTACCTGCTTATGTTTAATGAATATCTCCGCGAAGGAGAACTAATTATTTGACAAGGAATTAGTTCAACTTAGCGTGACGGTAGACTTTGTGGATGGAAAAAAAATGTTACAAATAACATTTTTAAATATTTTTAATAAAGCGTCTAATTAAAATAATCGTTACAAACACTTAGTAGATTTATTTTAAAGTTTCGCATGTAAAGTTTTAAAAAAAAATTATTAATTCCTACCGTTTATCAGAAACAAAATATTCGTTTAAAAGATTTAAAATAAAAACATGGAAAGGTATATTCTAACGTTTACATTAAAAAAAAAAAAACATGCTTATAAATATAATAATGCAAAAAAACTTAGATATTCTTTGGTGATATAAACGAAATGAAAGTAATCCTTAGAAGTAATTTTCACTTTGTTTAAATGCCTTCACATAATATACAAACTTAAGCAAAGATGATTTTTGTGAACGAATAATCTCAAAACGTTTTGAACGAAGATCTTAAAGATCGTCGTTCATAAAGTTTCGAGCTTATTCATTACTTTCGTAATAAAAATTCGCTCAAAAAATAATCTTTGAAAAACAAAATATTCGTTTGAAAGATTTAAAATAAAAACAAAAAAATACTTTTAAGCGTTAGAAAACAAACTTAAATAAAAGTTTCGTATACGTTTTCGTAATAATAATTTGTTTATTTTAAGCAATCTTTTAAAGTAATTTGTTATTTTGTTTAAAGGTGTTCACATAATATAAAAACTTTGAAAAAGGTAAACGATTAAAAGTTATTTCGTAAATTTTACTAGTTTCTTTCGACGCATTTCTGAAGCGTTTTATTTGTCAAAGCAACCGTGGTTAAATTGTCAAAAAAAATTATTGTTCCCGTGGTCAAACAAAGCGCGTGATCGCACGCCATTCCCGTCCAAGCCTGTATATATATATGTATATATATATATATATATATATATATATATATATATATATATATATATATATATATATATATATATATTCTGGAAATGATGTTAAGTAATTCTTTCTCCCTTTCTAGTAAATTTTTAAATAATAAACATTTTGCCATCTTATTGAGTTTTGAAAGAATATTATAAAAAGTTTAATCAGAGAACAAAAACTAAAACTATTTGCAAGAAGACCAATGGCAAGTTTTTATTACTCATTAACAATTCCACAGCGTAAAAAAAAAAATTAAAATCTACAAAGAAATGTAAGAAGTGTATAAAAAATCAAGTAAGGAAATCAAAATTTGCTTTCAGATACTGGATTGACTGTTTTAAATCTGTAACTTTTTCCAATAAAGAAATCTCAAATATACATATTTACGATATCTTCCCCCAAAAAACTGTAAAAAGTGCCCTTTTTATTTATTTATCAATTTTTTTTTTAAACATCTTTCCTTCCAACGAGGCTCTATTAGAGTTGGAAGTTACTGGAAGAGAAAAGATGAAGATTGTAGAGCAAGATATTGATTGACACTTTATTCATTTTTAAATTTGTTAAAGAACTTGACTCAAAGCATAGACAGTACTCAGTATACTGTTTAATAGCCCAAGCAATTGCCTCATTACTATTAAAAAACCCTAAGCCGTAACAAAGGCCTTCAAATCTGGCCTTGACAATACACACCAAAAGTACAAACAGGGATATCATCCATGCACAACATGGCACTGTTAGTGCTCTAATATTTTTCAGCTCTTGATGAAATCAGCCTCTCTAAGAGCTACCACAGAGTTTGGGAAACTTGACTACCAGCCAGCCTCAGAACCATAAAACTGAGTTTTAGAGCTGTACCCTCATCAGGAGATAATAGAATGAGTTGCCTTGTCATAAAAACAGAGACATAAGAAAAACCTATCAAGTCAAGAAGATCCAGCATTCCTAAACTAAACTGGAAACAATATATTATAAATATTCCGTACGCAACATGTTAAATACAAAACTCTTTTAGTAAAGAAATATTTTATTAATTATTTATTTAACTTTAACAAATGTATTTAAACGCATAGATATAAAACTTAATTGATTCAAGATTTGCATAAGTTGGTATTGCTAATTATTATCTTCCTGGTTAATACTAAGTAATCAGGCGGATAATATTCTGTCTTCTGTAAGTGAAGAGGGATTCACAATGTAAAAATTATGTTTTACTTTTTATTTTATTGTCTAGACATTTTGTAAAATAAATTCCCATAGAAAAAAAAATAATAATAACCAGAAAGTGCAAATTTGATGAGCTTTAAATACAACTGACATTTTTTAAATACACTTACAAGCTAAACTTTTTAAGAAAAAAAAACTAGTTACATTTCTTCTAATATTCTAATACTTAAAAAAATATCAAACACTCTTTAAATCTGAATAATAAAAAACATGACCCACTCTAATGCTTATAATACATAAAACAAATAAAATAAAAGTAAGAGAAATAAGATAAAACTACAAAAGAACTCATAGAACATGTACTTCGTCGACAACAACACCACTATTTATAGGAACAGACAAATATACCTATTACTGTACTTGGTTAATAAATAGTTTTATTTTATAAAATCTGATAGTGACTTACCTTCTGGTTGTCATCTCTACAACTTGCTGCATCAGCCGATCCATACACTTTTCTGGACCACTTAAGCATCGATTTGGACTTTGCATTAATGCAATATGATTAAACAAAAGTATGTCCCTTCCATTACCTAAATTTTCCAAGTTTTTGTATCGATAATCATCTTTCAAATAGCTATAAAGATTTTGCATTTCAACTTCAGAGGGACGCAAGTCTTTACTTAATTTTACAAACTTAGTTGCTGATTCAAATAACAGCTCTTGAAAATCAAGTTTTGCAGCTAAGGTAATGTCGCGTAGGTAGGTTTCAAACAAAATTTTACGCTCAGTTTCATCTAAAGACTTGTAACTATCTTCATTATCAATTAACAATGATGCATCAGCCCAACTTGTACCAGGTCGGATGCTTTCCTTTGATTCTAATAACTTTCTAAATTTGTTTTTTAAAAGCATTTTATGAGCAGACTCCCTTAATTTTTTAATATGTCTATCAAAACATGCTCTTGATCTTTCTGATTGTAAAACATCAAATGGAATACGACCATCACCTGTTGAAAAAAGACGCTCAGAAGAATTCCAAACTTCTTTATCCGGAAGAATCAAAAACCACTTATCAAAAAATATATGATTTTTTATAGCCTGTTGACATATTTCCCATTTCCATTCATTAGCTTCTATTGACTGAATAGTTGGAAGAAGCTCATCAAGTGCTTCAGGGAGCTTGTTAAGATATTCATTCAACTTTTTATCTTCATAATGCTGCTTTACTCTTTTAGCTTGCTCAACAAATATTTTACAAGCACTTTGAGTTCCACATAAATTCACAAAATTTTTAAAAACTTGATTTTCTTTGTTTAATTTTTCAAATTCTTTCCAGCTCATTAAAAGTTTAGAAGTTGATGAAGAAAATTTAATAATACCTAAATACTCTTCTTTTAACTTACTAATTAGTTCGTTCCTTTGATTAAGACCATCTTGGTAAGATATTAGCTTAGTTCTATAGCCACGAATTTTTGTATCAGCAAGTTGATATAATATATGTAGTCCAAGATCTATATTTACAAAATTTTCTGCAGAACTCTCAACCAAAGGGGTAACAACTTTTTTTGAGTGAACAAACTGATGTGCCCTATATAGTAGTTGTTCGGTAGTATCGTCACATTTTGTAGCCACAACAACAACAGGTCGTTTTGCTTTTGAAATATTTATTAGAAGTGATGACAAAACATCCTCTTGAATTTCTGAATGATTTGGTTTTTTAGCAAGGTTTCTACTTACATCGTATATGCAAATGAAACCATCAACCTGTATTTTACCATTAGTTAAAGGGTCCATTTGTATTTCAGGAAATTCAGATTGTAATGCTACTTGATCTCTGTTTATGTACATTATTTTTCCTGGTGATTGAAGTTTAGTGACTGTAGCACGCTTCACGTAAGGAAATATTTGACCACCTTTTGATAAGGGCAAATAACTTGCATCATCTATAAATTCAGTCTGCTCAATTAAACGAAAAGAAATTATATTATCATCAAATTTTTTATCTACAGTACCCCAATATAAAAAGTGGTCATTATTTAACACAGATCCAACAAAATCGGAAGTACTAAATATAGAAAAATGGTCTCTATAATATTCATCTTCATTTGACTTAATAAAACGATTGCAAAAACATGATTTCCCAACACCATATAAACAATTGGTTGGTGTATCATATCCAGATAAACCAACAACACAAACATTCATATATGTTTTTCCTTTTTCCAACTTTTTGCTTGACATGACTCTTTCTTATATCTCGTTTTATAATAAAACAAACCATGTAAAAACTTCAAAAGCTAAAATATACATTAGCAATCAATAAGTAAAAACTCTATTTATAATGTATTTAATAATATAATAATAATATCTTTAACAGAACTATAATATAATTAAACACATTTGTAAGTAATGGATAATCAAACAAGACAATAATTTGGTTTAAAAACTATTTCATTTCATATTGGCAATAATTACCTGGAATCAAAGAATTCTTTCTACATAAAAAAACATTTCTTTGCGTTATAATTTTCTTCAAGTACTTATTCTTTGATAACAAATTAATGTAATACTCTAGTGTGTAGTTATTAATAAGGGAAGTGTAACTATAAATAATTTTTACCTAATCAAATTAATAGGAAAATAAATTTATATATGAAAATAATAAGACAGTCAAAGTTACTATAAAGGTAGAGGTATTTAAAATCCAGACAAAGATATTAAATATAATTATAATAAATCCGTTAAAATATCTTAAACAATAAGCCCACTTGAACAACAAACTGATAACTAAAAGCTTTTTTACTCTTGAATCTATCTTAAAATTGTATTACAAAATGTTTTTTAGAAAAATACAAATATCGAATAGATAACGTTTTTAGTAAGCTTACTGGTATCATTTCGCCATATTTTAATTTTTTTTTTTTTTTTTTTTTTTATTAGAGTACAGACAGTTGAGACATTTAAATATTTACAAAATGGTGGCTGGGCGAGATTCCATTAGTCACGTGATAATAACAATTTTCCAAAGGTAAGCCAAAAAAAAAAATTATTATTTTTAAAATTTTTTATTTTTGTATTTTTGTATTTTCGTTACTATAACGGCAAAATATAGTGGTGATGCCCAAGCACTGGTCACTTTATTTAATTTAGCTTAAATATTTAAGAAAAAAAAAAGTGGAAATATTAGTTAAAATTTAAGAAACAAGTTTAAATTTTTAAAGTGAAAAAAAAATGCTATCTTAAAATAGCGGTGTAGATAAAAAAGAATCTTTTATAATAAATAAAGACAAATGAATTGGAATATTTAAAACGATGTATAAATGAATTACTTAAACGGGATACCTTTTCTTTACCTCCTTTATCGCTGAAATAAAATTGGTGGTGGAATAATTCGTGATATTTGTCATTTTTTAAATTGTTTTTTTGGTAGTTTAGATCCCCCGAATAGATCAAACGGACTTTACAACACATGTGTAGTACAATTTTATATAGTTGTTGTTGAAGTGTTTGATTGTTCGACATCCCATTGGGTACGGTGCCTCATGGCTGCCTTAGAAAAATTGTTTACAATTATAGATTTTATATTTTAAAAAAATAATAAAAGTTCTTTAAATGAGTTAAGTGTTGCAGTTACTGCTCTAACATTTTTTTTGTTAACTGTTTTTTAGTTGTAAACATTTTTTAGAATTTCGAGAACAGAGTTAACTCTGTTATTAAAGAATTAACTTAGATACTAAAAATGTTTACAGCTAAAAAAACAGTACAACAACTTAAACAACAATTGTAACACTAGAAAACATTAACAACAATTGTTGTTTATGTTGTTGTTATAGTGTTTAATTAATTTACTTATAACAAATTCGTTATGGGGTTGAACTATTTTTATTTCTAATAAACAGAAACTAGTTTTATACAAACCTGAGTGACCACTCTCCTAAAATCATATATGTATCATGTGTATTAGTGAGTTTTTAAAAAATAAGACTAAATTAATCAAATATCGCTAAATTAATTGTGTATAGCTAAATTAATTAGGTATAGGTAACTAAATCTACCCATAAAATTTTAAAAGTTTATAAAAAACTTTTCTTTTCAAGTTTAAACTACATGAAATATAGATTAATACAATTTATTTTTATATCATGCGAAAACGCAACTTACTCTGACAATGTTACCCGGTTAACAACCAACTTTTTCCATAATTTTTAGTAATATAAAAGGATTTGATGCACAAATTATTTTACTAATTAATTGACAACATGCAACTCTTTTTTAACATCAAAATTAATTTGGGAATGTAGATATATATATATATATATATATATATATATATATATATATATATATATATATATATATATATATATATATATATATATATATATATATATATATATATATATTATACATTTATCATTAAAATGAGAAATAAATTAAAATTAAAAATAAATATTTATCATTACAATTAGAAATAAAAGCATATAATCACATGAAAGTGTTCATAGAGACATTGAATAGAGTCTAAAGTTAACTAAGAAACTCACAGCGATCTATGGTTGGAAGTGAAACAATACTTACCGAAGTTTGAATCCTTTATAATTTATTCCCAAATCTCACACATTCTAAGTTTCTTAATAATTTTCAAAGCGTTAGGTTTTAGCATTTTAAATATTGAAATGAGTTTAAATTTAGAGTTTAAATGACGAAAACGATAAAAAAAACTTTCTTATATAACTGTAATAATTTTATTACTGTAGTTAACATTTTTCTCGCCGACACTGAAGTTGTACCATCAAAAAAAAAAAAATAGAAAGTCGGCAAAAAACCTAGTTAAAAATTGTAAAAAAATATTTGAAATCTTTATATTAAAAGAGTTATAATAAAGCTTACAGGGAATTACAAAAAAAAAGCTTTTGTGTACACAAAACTAGAGCATACCTTTGATTTACAAAATATTTTTCTAAAACTTACATTAATGTTTAATACAAAAAAATTAATTGATTTTAAATCTTTCTCCCTTTTTTTTGATACACATGTAAACTCTCTTGAAAAAATTATTTAATCTCAAATTTTGACAAGTAAAAACTGAAAATTCTTTAAAATATTGCACTTCACACTATTTTGCTTTTCTAGCATGTAAGCCCATGTAATAAAATTTAATAGGTTCAAGTCTAAACTGCTGGTGGGCCAGTCTAACACTAGAATGAAAACGCGAAGTTTTTATAACTTGAACCATACTTGAACGGTTTTGGCTCCAAAATAAAATATAAATAGAGCTGTTGATTGATTTTAAATCCTCAATCAATAAACTTTAGTTGATGCTTTCCTTTTTTGTAAAATGCACAACAAACAACAATCCCTTTGGGGTTAAGGAATAACTCTCACATTACGTGGGATCTCTTGCAAACATACTCCATGATCATTTTGTCTGTTAAGAGGACGTTCAAGTGGGAGTAATTTTGCATCAAAAAAAAATTCTACACTTGAAAATTATTTAAAAAAATTGAAAGAAGGTTTGAAAAATTTTAAAAACTCTATACTAGCTCAAACATTATTTAAAAGATACTTCACATGTTACTTTTCCACACAGAAACACGGTGTCAAAACGTAGATTTTTAAAATAACACAAATTTTCAAGTGTTTTTCATTTACTTATATTTTTATTAACTTAATACTCTATAAAAACAGGTGGATAAGTTTTTTTATCCATTATTCAATGATTTTTTTATTTATTTTAGATGCCCCAAGAGGTCCTTACGGTCTTATCACAGAGTACCATGAAAGAGCTTTTGAAAGAAATTTCATGCCTCCTTCCGTACCAATATTATAAAACTTGCCCAGAGGTAGCGTTGAACTACGGATCTCTAGATTCTGAGGCAAGTGAGGCATGAGCGCTCACTGCTGCGCTTCGACTTCTCAAAAATCTATCCAACCGCAAACTTAAACTACCGAATACTTAACTTCTGAATACTTATCTATTGAATACTTATCTATCGAATACTTATCTATCGAATACTTATCTATCGAATACTTATCTATCGAATACTTATCTATCGAATACTTATCTATCGAATACTTATCTATCGAATACTTATCTATTGAATACTTATCTATCGAATACTTATCTATCGAATACTTATCTATCGAATACTTATCTATTGAATACTTATCTATCGAATACTTATCTATCGAATACTTATCTATTGAATACTTATCTATCGAATACTTATCTATCGAATACTTATCTATTGAATACTTAAAAGTGTTCGATAAATAAGGATCGTGAGTAAAGTCATATGCAAAATTTCTATAAAACATAATAGTGCATGTTTTATGTAAACCACTTTCTGGGTATACTGAACCATATCTAAGTTATACTGAACCACCTTCTGTTTATACGGTGCCCTTTAAAAGGTAAAAGGTTTTATTACAATTTTAACATTTTTTTTTTTCTTATTGTCTATTTTCGATTCGAAAAAATTTTGAATAAATTTATTTAAATCAAATTGATTCCAACAAATTTGTTGTTATTATTTTATAATTATGGACAAGCATAATGCTTAAAATTATAAAGTTTTTTTTTTAATTAAGTAGACTTTTTAAGAAATTTTTTTAAGTAATTTTTTCTATTTTATGTTTTTTTTTTAGGTTATAGTTAAAGACTTTTGATGCAATTTTTTAACAAGATTGCACCACAGCGAGAAAAAATTGTTTTCAATCTTAGCTGTCTCCAAGAAAAACAGGTTGCCAGAGAAATCCTCAAAAAAAAAAAGAGAAAACTGAACAAATAACATTGGATGTAACGTTTAAAAGTCAACAAAGGTACACCTAAAAACAAAATTTATAAGCAATCTATCAGGAAAATATCTGTTCGTATTGTCGAAAAACTGCAAATTGTTTTAGAACTTTCACTTTAAACTTTTAGATTTTAATATCTTGTACATTTTTTATACAAAATAATTTATGATTGGAGTTCTCTGAAAAGGAATGAATAAGAATCCGTTGAATAATTCGATCATTCGTTGAATCAAAGTTTTTTGAATAGCAAATTTCATAAAACGCTGTGATAATTAAAGAACCCGCAACAGTATTTTATAAAATTGAGAAAGTAGGGTCGAGCGGAGCTAGTTGAGCATAGGAGCAAGTTGGGAAACTAAAATATCTCAAAAATGCGCTTCACATGCGCTTCACATGCGCTTCACATGACAAAACATCTAATGGGTGAAAGTTAAGGAACTAGAATGTTAACACAAAACACAACAAAAATAAAAGAAAACTGAATTATCGAACTTAAAGAATTAAATTTGATAAAAAATAATTTAGCAATATATTATATATTATTCGAATTAGTAATTTTTAAATTGGGCTTCAAAGAATAAAAATAGCAATTTAAAATAATACTTTTAATATTTTATGACGCTTTATTACTATTGAATTATTTCTCTTCTCTTACTTACGTTCTTTAAAGTGTATAAAATAAAAAGTTTATAAATTATAATCACGCTCACTGTTAGTGAAAAGTTTTATTGATAATTCACCCAAGTTTCGTACCATACATATTTATTTATTTGTTGGCCTTTCTCGGCGGGGTAAGTTGAGCTTACTAAATTACTTGGATACTAAAATAAAAAATGCTATTTTCTC